AATGAACTAACCGTTCTTTTTGTTTTCTAGAAATTAATGCAAACTGAATGAGTGAATGAACAATGAAAATAATTCTAGCTGTGTTCAAATAGAGTGGGGAGTGTATGCGTAATTATTAAGTAAATTGGTTTAACTATTTTAATTGTATGTGCGATTGTATGGAAATGAATGAATGCTTTGTTTGTAGTGGTTGTAATTATGACTATGTAGAACAAACTTTTATGTCGGATTTTGCAATTAGGAAAATTATCAATGAGTATTTTTTGGAATAAAATAGGGTTCAGAATAAGTCTTAGTACTACAGATCGAGAAAAGGATAATTATGTATTTTAATGGACCTAAATGACTCAGTATTACACAAGTCTTAGGAATAAGTTTATCAAGATTGTTATAAATCTATACTTCTATACTAGAGGTAATATTATAAAGAGGAAAGATTTGTACCTATTTTTGTATGTTTGGAATGAATAGGCTCAAAAAGTACTGGGCCGATTTAAAAAAATCTTTCACCAATAGAATGCTACATTCTTCCAATTTGACATAGGCCATTTCATTTTGAAAAAATTAGGGATCCTTGGTAAAATTTGAACAATGTAACCGAAGGTGTAGAAAAATGAGTCTTAAAATGTCTTTCGTCGAATGCGCTGCCGAAACTATTAGCGATAGAACAAAATAATGTACAATAATATTGAAGAACATCATAATGTCTACAAAAAACTCCGCGGTAGCATATGACCAACTATTGTAGTTATATTACTACAACAATCCAAATTTCCAAAAATAAATAATTGTCTACCCCGTGCGAAGCCGGGACGGGCTGCTAGTATTTAATAAAGTGATCGATAAATATATTAAACACTTTATTACTTTAAATTTCAATGAAACATTGTATACTTTTGTATAAAAGTGTAGCCTTCAATTTCGTCTTGCAAAATATATAAAAAACTTCAAGTGCTTCCGATTCCACTTGAACTGGGGACGTCTTCTGAGAATACTGTTTTGTAGACGCTTGTACATCGACTTATTTTTTTTTAATAAACAATTAAAACTTCTTAGTGACGCTTTCCAGTATTTGATCCTTGGTCCTTTGCTATTTTTTTTATTACTTTCTTTATTTTATTTTTTTATTTTAACGTTTGCTCGTATGAGAGAGGAAACTAGTTCTTTATTAAGTGAATGATGATGAAAAATATGTATAGCAGTCAGATTTTTTTCGAGTCACTGTTTCGAGAACTAGTTATCTATATTGCGATCGTGTTAAAAGTTTTATTGACTGTCCAAAGAGTTTCTTATACCTAACGAAATACATCATCGTGGCCCGGAGGTTTAAGACTTCCACTTGTCATGCATGGGTTCGAAACCTATCAACGGTAAGTAACAATGTGACTTTTTGTTTCTGTTTGGAAATCATGACCATATAAAATCTAATTATAAGTTTGAAATCGCCAACCCACATTGAGCAAGCGTTGTGATTAATGCTCAAACCTTCTTCGTGCGAGAAGAGGCCTTTGATCAGCAGTGGCCACTTATGGGCTGTTGATGATAAACGAAATACTTCGAGTTGTCATTTAGATGTATTAACAACATAAAAGTTAAAATACATTTTTTTATGATTTTGATTAAATGACAATTAACTCATCGAGTACCGTCATTATAGACACAATTATAGAACAATAGGTTGCGGTCACCGGTGACCGCTTGGTGTTTGACAGTTTAATCCTTCACAACCTCCATATAACTACCCCACCAAGTAAATAAATATGCATCTTATGTTACAACACTGCAAACAATTCCTTAATTCTTTCCTCCAAATATCAAACGAGAATGGCACCCATCACATATTTACACGATAGTTCTGAAGCTTCTTCTGAAGCCTTAGTATAAGTTTGTTTTATATTTATAGTAATCGTAACGAGTACACATTCGGCGCTATGATTGGTTGGTTCATATTTTTTTTATGGCATACGCCGGTAAACGAGCAGACGAATCATCTGATGTTAAGCAATCGGCGTCGCCCATGGACACCTGGAACACCAGAGGCGTTACAAGTGCGTTACCGGCATTTTAGGGATTGGGAGTTTGAGGATCGTTGGGGATTCAGGGATTGGGGAGATTGGGGAAGGGGAGGGTAATTGGGCCTCCGGTAACCTCACTCACAGGACGAAACACAACGCGCAAGCGTTGCTTCACGTCGGTTTTCTGTGAGGCCGTGGTATCACTCCGGTCGAGGCGGCCCATTCGTGCCGAAGCATGGCTCTGCCACACCTAAAATTCATTGGCGCCGGCCAATCAGAGTGCCGAACGCGTACTTGTTTCGAATACTTTAAACGTACAGCAAACTTGTATTAAGGCCTTTGAATATAAACACAATTCGCTTCTTAAGATACTCCTCAAACATTGAAAGGCCCTTTAAGGGCAAACACTGAACGTTCAGCCTCTATGGGGCTCTATTAGCCATGGTAATGTAAACACTTCTATGTAAGTAGGGGTTGCGAATCATTTGTGTTAAGTATCGGTAGTTAGAAACTATAATAGGTATAGTGTACTAAACGTAAATATGCAGTTATAGTTAAATTGTGAATCCTTAGCAATAGCGATTTTATTTCTAGGAATAAAAATGGAAAGAAAAATGATGTTATTGTTATTAATTTTTAAATACTTTTGAACTTATCAGGTTATGCATAATTAACTAAAATTGCGGGTTACTCACGTGAATATACTGAGGAAAAGCTCTACTAGTTTCAAACCACAGAGGGGTTCCTCTAAACTCAAACTCAAACTCAAACTCAAAAGCATTTATTTCAATTAAACCATAATTTGGTACTTTTGAAACGTCAACAAATATGAGATATATAATAGTCTGTCAGTCTGTCCGTCAGTGAAGCTAGGCGCTCGTTCCAAAATGTCGATTCGAGTGGAGAAGAACGAGCAAGAAACTCCATTCGTTACTCTTTTAAAAAA